ACAAGATATTAAATAGTATCTGCTGTGTAGCTGGCGTGAAAGTGCTGTGAAGTGCTTGGTCAGTGTGTAATCCAAAGGTAATTTCAAAGCAAAAAATGTAGTGTAGTGAAGTGAAGTGCGATACGTGATCAATGCACTTTTCAATACTGCTTTTCGTCTTGTACTGTATTTGTACGGTATTATTATTATTATTATTATTATTATTATTTGTTTATTATTAATATTGTTAACGTACGCAGCTCCTGCGGTGAAAATGTACATGAAAAAAATAAGAAAAAAAATAGCAGACGCCCGCGACGCAGCTGCGAGGAAGGGGGGGGGTCGTAGGCATTCGCGCCGTCCGTCTATTGAGGCGAGGGTTCCATAAATGTTTATGGCAGGACACCCCCGGGCCAATATGTCAAGTGTGCGCCTTTCAACGCGACCGCTCATAAAAGAACCCAAACGCTGAGTGCGCCTCCTCGGGGGGAGGGGAAGAATTTACGACCACATGGTCAGCGGCACACGTGCCGAAGAAAAAAAAAGGGGGACGATAGTTTTTTACAACAAAAACGGACATTCTGGCCGTTAAGAAAGAGTTCCGTGTGTTGTTCAGACATCACACGCCTCCACACTGCTCCGGGAAATTCAACCCGCGTATCGGGAGGATACACGTTCTTTGAAGGGAGGGGGTACCGAGGTGCGATGTTACTACGCCGCGCTTCGTAAGCACTGGATGTTTGGAGACGGCCGGAGCGGTCGATTGACTTGATAGTTTGGAGACGGCCGGAAGCGGTCGATTAACTTGATGGCTGAGACGGCGGGGAATAGTCGATTAACTTGAGGCTAAAGACGGCCACGGGAAGTTACTCGATTCGATTGTTCGGTCACAGTTATTTACTTCGATTGCTCAGTCAATCAAGTTAAAGCACTCGAAGCATATCGCGAGGGAAGTTGTGTAACTTCTTTAGCCGATGAATACCGTGCGGGCTGAGGTTGGAGACGCCGACTGAGTACGCGAGCCCGCGGTAAGCGCGGCGACATCAAACGGTTACGCTCGGAGCCCCTATTTCACCGCCTCCGCCTGGAAAAGGGGCGCCCGAACCGAGACGACGGGCGACTACACCACCGGCGTGCACAGAGGCCCGCAAAGAAACAAAGGTAATTAATCCGCTTGGCTCCCGCATAAATGCGGTTAGAAATTTATTGAGCAAAGCGAGGGTGGGAAAAGGTAATATCAGAAAAAAGTAACCATGAGACGCCGTTGTTGTTTTTATATTGTATTAATCCAAATAGATAACGTTGTCAGAATAAAAGAAAGGATATTTTTTATAAAAAAATGTAAAATAATTGTATATCATCATCATCATCATCAATTCTTTAAAGTAAATGCTTGTTCATGCAAATGTTATCGACCATTATTATTATTGAAATTCCCATTCCCGTTCCACAGAGACGCGTGAGGGGTTACAATATAAGTGTTGTAATTTTTCATTTATAGCCATTGACTGCCACCGGGTCATACCCAATTGCAGTTCTAATAAATGTATGTAAGTATATACATGAAAAGTAATTATAACGTTATTTAAAATGCGTGCTGAAGATGGCCTTGCGGAAACTTTATTTTTATTATTTATTTACGTCTTAAACAGTTAAAAACTGTGTGTGACGTGCTATGGGGAGAAGTTAATTTGAAGTTACATTTATGTCCAGAAGCAAAACAAGGGGCCATCTCAGCTCGCGGATCAGGAAAAATGGACGAAAACCTAGTCGAGGTGAGGGACATTGACCCAGAAGATAAAGTACAATACTTGTTACAGGTTCTTTACAATTATGCACTCCAAATTATATATAATACATTAAATGCCATTTTATAATTAATATTACTTTCCTTTTGGATGCTCGGCATTGTCTCTATTTGTATAGAAACAGTTGTGCAGGAGAAAATATTTTACTTGGGACTTAAACTTTTGTATCGAATTTAATCGTCTGGCAAGGTGTGCTAAATTAATGTACGTGTATTATATGTGATTTTTTTGTAGTGAGCTGTTGATACTGTCACCAAATGAATATGATTACTTGCTTAAATGCATTATGCACGTTTTAACTTGTCATCTAACCACTGCGTAACTGTGTGATATGAATTCTCTAATGTTTATTCCGAACATTATCGTACAAGTCTTCTAATGTTCTTGCTTTATTTGCTTACGCCTACACTTTCCTCTTTGGCCCACAAATAAAAGCCACTAGTGGATAACTGCGGCGATCGCACAATGCGATTCTTTGATGACTGTTGAACAGAATAAATCTCGCAGCACACATCGTATGTCTGAACCAATATTTTACGGCTTCCTTTATTCACAATTATAAAGAATTCATAGTCGCAGTATTCCCGCAACAATAGAGGGCAGGACTACACCGACAAAAAAATAGGTCAGGTGTACATTAGCACATCTCTCCGACTTGCGGACTTCGCTCACGAGGGGATGGTTTTTCGGGCGCTAAAATGAATCTAATATATAGTAAGAAGTTTTCGATGTACTGTCATCCATTTGCTGTCGTATTTTTAATACTATCTCGCATTTATTGCTGAAAAGAATAGATTTTGAGAAATATACATATGGTACCATGCTATTTGATCATTTGTTGAAAATATAATGCAATATTGATTCGGCATCACCAGTCACACCCTTTTGTCAATTTCATTAGGTTCCCGTGTACATACATTCCTTTTTTTTGATCCAAGTAATTGTCATGTCAGTGAAATTAGCTGGAGCATGCAGGAAACAAGAAGAAAGTGAGGAAGCGAAGATGAAATAGAAGAAGAAGGGAAGAATAAAAAGAGAAAAAGGATGAAGAAAGAAAATACGAAAGAGTAGCAGCTCAGTAAGTTCAATTATATAATGCTATCCCAAGAGCGCGCGAGCCATGAAGTGAATAAGCGTGCCCACCTGCCAGTAGCTGACGCCGGCGTCGAGCGCGGCGAAGACGTCGATGAGCACGAGGCCGCCGGCGCCCGCGTCCGCCTCGCCCGCCGCCAGCAGCGGCCCCAGCTGCTCGGGCGCCGCCGCCGCCCACGACGCGCGGAAGCCGCTGCGCGCCGCCGCCTCCGCCATCAGACGCACCTGCACCCCCCCCCACACACACACACACAACCGATTGACTGATTGGTAGTGAAATACGGGCGGGGCAACTGCTAAGGACATTGTTCCCGTATGCTTTTTTAGCTAGGTGGCGGTGATCTCCGCTGGATGGCGAGAACCGGCGCCGACCACACGTCGGCTTTCGGGTTATTCCCCAACCAGGTATCTCCCATCTGCGGGACACCGCCCCAGCCGGGACAAGCTCTAAGCTCCCGACCGACATACGACCGGCATGTATGAGATTGAATGTAAGTGTAAGTGTGCGAAAGATTAGTACAAAGTTGAGGAAAGAATGATCACGCATGCACCGTAGCCCTTTTGCTAGAGTACTGATCTGGCATTCTCCTGGTCGTAATCGGAAAAACTACGGAAAAATATCAGTCAGCAACCGGTAAATAGAATTATGCTCCAGAAGCGGTTGAATTCTACCTAGCTATGTAGATAGTGTCGAAAATCCTTCCACCGTTGGCACTTGAACCTAGGACCTCCGGGTCAGAAGGACTGTAGTGACATCAATTGATGCCCTGCGAATCTATTAATACCCACCACATGACGTTTCATACAGTACTTTTTAAACTGGCGATTACTATTGTAAATTAAAGTATTACACTGAATAGTTTCGTGGCAGCTGGCGTGCAGGGTTTCACCAACGCAACGGTCCCTGCGTATCTCACGAGGCATTGGTTAAGCATAAGCACAGCCCGACTAAAACGAGCGCGTCGCGAGTCAGGTTAGAATGCAGTTTAGCAAAGAAATGCCATCCGCATCTCCCCATCAGTCGTTCTCTAAAGAACTGAGTGCACTGAGTGAGACAAGTACGCTCTTATTCTGAAGATTTTTGCACATTATTTGAAATATGAGTTTACATGGGTATTATCTGTAATATGAATCATTCTATTGTAATAAAATTGTTACATTTACTGAACTGACGTTTGTTTTGTGGTACTTACGTGAAATTTAGGTCTGATTAAATGATCATTTCCAAAACTATTCGACATAGAATATCACAAAGTGCAAATATGCTAAAAGATTGCATTTTCCTTACAAGTAAATTGTGATGAATGTTGTTTGATTCCATAATTAAATTGATAGAGATGTGTGAATAACGGCAGTCCCAGGTATCGGATAAAAGAGGAATCAGATATTTGCGTTTTGGGAAATTTACTTTTACTACGAGTATTTGGTGTATTAGTAGATTTACAGACATTACCAAAAATGCTTCTAAAGACAGTGCCTCTGATCCAACGTGTAAGTCATTGATGCTGATACAAAATATTTTATGCTAATTGTACCACATAAAAAAGATGTTTTGTGTTGTAACGTGAAAAGATGGAGATAAATAATAATTGCATTAACTTGGATACGTGTGACGTCCGAAGTGTTTGTTTCAAATAATGTTTGTGCGTAATGTAGGTTGGTTTAATGGTCTGCAAAATCAGATTCATTCATCTGTAACGTGTGTTGTACTGCCTCAACTAATATTATGTATATTGTGGTTATGTATATATTGTGTAAAATTGTTTTAAGAATATATTTTAGGAATAATGTCAACAAAAGTTTGTTTTTTATAATTGGGCAACGATTCTTCCCAACCCTAATTACTTTGATATTTTTAAAAAGGCTCAGAATTAGCTGAATGCGTGATATTACGGAGGTTAATATGAACATTAGATGTCCAAAGAATAGATTGCGTACCGTGCTCCTTAGGCTGCTGCTTTAACGCTCAAAAAGTACCCATTCTGGCCACAGAGTGCTGTGCTGTCGATTTAACTCCTAAACCTTATTGTAGATTGTGCCACACAAGTTACCCCTCCTATTCTATATTCCTCCATATACGTACATTATTGTAATGTATGACGTATCGCATATGCCCTCGTCATGTGGGAATATTGCAACATCTATGGTGAGTTTTGCATTCACAATCTGGTTGACGAAGCGACGAAGAGATGGCGCTACTTTTTGGATAATCGATTATGGAAGTCGGGCGGAAGTGCTAGGGCGATCCGGACGATTAAGTTAGTTGGCCGCAAAGTTTCAAGAACAACAGGCGTGTTACCTGGATTAGGTAAAGTTGGAACTTGTGAGGACACGTTGGAGAAAGATTTAGATGAGCATCGTTGTTTGTGAATGTATAGTATAGGAGTTGTAATCAGGGAAATATTTATTGCACGAGTGAATAATTAAATTGTGAGAAATATTCGTGTACTTTAAGTGCATTTTTGTACAATTATAAGATGCGCGTGGTGATGCCTACTGAATATTTTCAAAGTGTGCTTGGTAATACCGTAAGGGAAGAATAAGTACTTTGCTAAATATCTTAAAACTACATTTGTTGAGAGAACAGTAATTTATTGTATTGTGCACGTTATCTTGAGGACTGTAGACAACGAAGACTACGTGGTACCGAGAACAGAGTAGTGCTGTAAAAGCACTGTTTGGTAGTGAAGAACCTAAAATGGAAATTAGAAAGCAATGTTCCAGCTATACAGTGATAAAATATAGCAGGAATTAACAGTATTTGCCGGACAAGTGGCTGCTAGAAACTGCAGGAACGACGGGAACGGGCCAGATGATCGCGAGAAGGACTACGTATTGCGATCCGCCGAGGAATTTATTAGTTGCACATGTAAAAATCCCGGCGAGCAGACGCAGCGAGCGGCGAGTGCAGAGGCCTTGTAGCGGATCCGGCGAACTTCGGGTGGAACGCGGAAACAACCGAAAGGAACTCGAGGGGCAGTGGGGCGACTGCCCTTCGCAACGCGGAGCTGCGCGTCCACGACGCCGGGGAAAGTGGTGCCAAGGCCACCAGAACATCTGCGAAATGAAGCAACTCCGGAGGCAATATTGTAATGTATAGAAAATATTTTTTAATAGGTGCGAACACAGCAATAGTAGAACATTGTAGCCATCCAATTTATCAAGCGTACCCCATTCTGCCGACTTTGAGAGGGTGTATATATTCATATTTGTGAAAATGTTTATATTCGTGTTTGTACTGTATAAGGTTAAAGTGAATTTTAAATAATAGGAGTGTATTAATGGATATTTTGATGTTATTAATAGTCATAAAGGATAAAGAGGATCCTGAAGTTAGGAAACAGCATTCACTATGTGAAAAGATATATCAAACAAGGTAACGTGTAGAGAAAGTTTTGAAATTTAGATATAAATGATTTAGTTGAAAAAAGTTATTTTCTGTGATGAAGTCATTGGTTAAAAAAGGAAACATTATTAATTTCATTAAATTGTTAATTTATCTGACGCGTCTGGTGTTGATCAGAGTGAGCCGAACACGGAAAAGACCCCTGCCATTGGTCGCTCCCTTTTTTTTTATTTTTTTTAGAAGTACAAAAATTCGCATCTTTGCTGCGACCTCGCATGGGTGTAGCGCATGTCCATACCCACAAGCCCCAGTATATATCTAACAGATACGTCACAGTACGTATATACGGAGTAACATACTTAGAGTAGAGAAGGGTATGTAATGCTGTAGAAAATAGATTTCGAAATTTCAACGGAAATACGTTTTGGGGGTCTCCTGATACCAAAAAAAGTTGTTTTAAATCCTCTCTCTGTCCGTCTGTCTGTCTGTCGTCTGTAAACAACACTATCGCCGAAACTATAAGTACATTTTTTTCAAACTGAATACTCCTCTGTCAATATGGCCTCACTCAAAGATCTGCGATTTTTAAAAACATTCATTAACTTTTGGGGGTACTTTAAATGATACCCCTGCGACATTTTCAGAAGTTTCCCAAAGATAGTTTCAATTTTTTTCGATTTACTTTGGTATGGACGTTATTGTGGCCGATAGTGCAAGAAAGTCCTGGCGAAAGAAAGGGGACGTTCTGCATAGGTAAAGTACCCAGAAGATGTGATCAAACATCAAAAATATGATAGAAGGGAGCAAACAATGTTTTGCAAAACATGAGACTTATGCACACGTAAAGCGTGTTGCAGCGTAATGGGTCGATTTCTAAGACAGGGTCTGAAACGCAGTTCTGAAACCCTGGCGGCAGACAAGACTCGCGTTGGCTTGCCAAGACGGAGTTTCAACGTCGTCTGGCGAGACCCCGTTTTCAAGCCATGGCTTCCTCAATCGGTCTGGCAACGCTGCCTTTGTGTATGCGCATTTCGGTCGTCTTCTGTTTTCTTCGCGTAGAACAGCGGATGCCCAATCATCCAGTCGTGTTGCAGTCGTTGTGTTGTGTACTGGCAGTGTGTTTGGTTTGTGACGTCAACGTATATCGAAAGCTAGAGAAGAAAAGTTTGTTAGCAAGGTAACGAAAGGTACTTTCCGACCGATTTTAATGATTCACTACCATCATTCTTTATTATAATGTAATAGAATAAATATTAAAGCTGGCGTGTTTGTTTAGCTGAAAATAGTTTGTTATGAAAAAAGTAAGAGAGCGATACTGGTAGAAATTGGCCAGAAATATCCAATTATAGCGGATAAGAGCCATGGGGGAGATATTTTTTTTAAAAAAGAAAAGGGGCTGACAGAAAATAAGCGAGGAATTCAATAGTTTAACCCCAGGGAAAGCTTCACCTTCAGAGGATGAAATTCGTGGTGAGGAAAACAGTTTTATACGAGATATTTTTACAAATCTTAGAGCCGTGAGCATTAACCATAAAATAATAACAGCCGGGAACTACTGAATAAGTTTTTAGTGCTTTGTTAAAGTGGAGAAACTACTAATGCAAAATCTATTCCCTGCAGCATGCCTATTCTGGTACAGAAAATTAATATTGCTCAAGCATTTCAGAAGTGTGCACACGTTTATGTACGTGTAGTTCATATTTAATACTTTCAAGTGTCGTATATTATGTACTTATATTTCTGGTTCTGGTTCAGGGAAGGCAGATTTGAAACAGTTAAAAGAATCAGAAATACAAAGGTTGTTTAAAAACATTCCTTCATTCTAGCACAGCACAAGCGAAGAGCGTAAGAGCAAGAAGCACGGCACACAGAACTAATTGCTTGACTTGACCGGTGCTCGCCAATGCGGTAAAAATAAACGAACGGCGAGACGTACCTGTCACATCAGCACAACCGCTCCAGTTATCAAGACAACGCAACTACTTCTATTGAACCTTTACTCATGGCGGACGACGAATCACTGCCGAACTTGATATAACCTGTCGAAGGTGATATGAAAACAGGGCCGAATCCAAGGCGGGAGGGGGGGAGTGGTAAGAAAATATACAAGAACTATCTTTCACATTTATATTTGTTGTCTATTGTCCAGCTAATGGAAACTTGACCAATACTCATTTCCCACACTGTACTTTTCGTAATTTTCAAATTTACCGCCAGATGCTTTTTGTGTGCTACTATCCATTTTGACTCGTGCTCGTCGCCAGGGACTTACGCAACTATTTCAATCAAATTTGTGCGCTACTTGCATCATCTTCTGTCAGAGCGGTCATGAGATCTGAGTAGGTCGGGAATTGTTAAATAATTTAGTTTTTCCATGTATTTAAACAGGGTTCTTTTTAATGCTACAAAAGATCCCATAAAAGACTGCGTTTTTATCTCTGCATGAAAATCCCCAACTCTCAGGCAAATTTGAACCCGCGAACTCGAGCGTTGGAAGACAGTGTGTTAATCCCCCACTAATGAGGCCAGCATCTTGGCTGGACACCCGATTCTTTCTGTTCGTGTTTAGTGTTCGTGCAGACCGTGCTAAGCAATCAGTTCGATTTCGAAAAACTAATTTGATAAATAAACCTTGAAGAGTAATAAATAAAACTTTTATATTCCAAAATAAATAAACCACACGTTCACCGAATTCACGTTCACCGATAATCAATTACAATATTTTCTATATTGTCAAAATACCAACCAGAGTATCCATTAATTGCTAAACATTGAAAATGTGTCCTTAGGTATATAAAATAAATCTATTTTTTTCGAAATAAGTTTATGGGTGTCCGTGTCACGTACCCATAGACCCTGTTGAGATATTTAACATTAATTGAATGTGTGTATTGCCCCTAATATTTATCACCACTGCATTTAGTATTTCCAAGTGGAGTTGAAAGGAGCCTTGTAGCGCTCGCTCCTACCTCTAACCCATCGTCGATCAGCAGCTCCGGAAGCTCCGAGGCGTTGGTTGCGCCCCACAGGAGCTCAGGCTGAGGCACGCCTGTGGAACACATTGCGATTGCCAAGTAACAAAAAAATATTTGCGAAACGTAACGTAATATATTCTTGTTTATGATTCTTACTGTATCACTGTCGAAACTGTGAGATTTAGGATTTCGAGGTATCAATATAAGTGCGGTTTGATATTGAAGAACTGGCCTGCTGGGTAGTAAATAAGTTCTTCTAATCGCATTAACAGCGTTGTGGTCGCCACGCAACCTCCTCCTTGAGGCGACAGCGAAAAGTAGGTGTAACCCTACCTCCCCCTCCCCCTTGGACACTGTCGTTCTCAGTGCAATTGCACAGTGGTTTTCTTTACCTCTACCTAATCGTATTAACACTTCAAACGTGGTCTTTCGTTTTAAATTATGTCTACATAGTTTCTTAAAAATAATAGCTTTTGTGTTAATATGCCCTTATTATCTATTTCACGAAATAAAACAACCAGAATTTGCGCTGACTTAAGATATGTTGCATCATCTTACTATAATCAAATTCCTAAGCAATTTTATTATATTTCTCCCTTTTCTTCCTTTTCTCTGTAGCTTTCACGTTTAAAAAAGTAATTATAAAAATCTTTTTACTGAACAAACCCTTCATTATACATTGGTAATAATGTTTAAAATATATTTCGTAGGAGTAATCACCGTTATTTACTAATAGTACTCTAGTTATTTACTATTAGTATTTACTAATATAAGTAATATGTTACTGTTTTCATTCAATCATGTGTGTCATTTTATTTTCCTTTTTTATTCTTGTTGTTATTCAGAACGCAAAAGAAGAACCTTATAAAGCGATCTATGGGTTTTGGAATATTTATTTTCTTCCCCCCCCCCCCCGCGCGATAATTATTTGCTCTTACTTGCTTCTTCCTCTTTCCTTAAATACATACTTAAATGCACGAAACTGTCAAAATGTCTTATAGATCGGCGCCGGATGTAGCATTTTACCGGGAAAGGAACACCATCG